ACACACACACACACATATATATATATATATATATATATATATATATATATATATATGTAAAGCTAATAAAATGAGAACCATAAAAATATTAAGAACCGTGAGAGGCCGTTTTCGTATGTTGTTTCATATTGTGAAACAACACATCGTAAAATTAAATTATTGATTCACAATGTGATTATTTTCAATGTATATTTTCAGTTCTTTTTGTTTTCCATTTTAAAAATGTGAACGTAAAACATATACATTCAGATGCATTGTTTCACAAATGAAAATAAACATTACGAGTATGACAAATTTTCAGTATTTAATTACCAAAAAAGATAATCTAAAATATAAAATCCAAATATCCTCAATCGCTTTTGTTTTTTGAAAATGTCAAAAATGGGCACCAATATTTTGAATGGGACAAGCCACCTACCAACCAGTCTAAGCAACAGGGCTAAAATAATTAGAACCAAAATTCTACAATGACACACAAGACTTTTATTAATTAGAATAAAATATTTATTACATTTTCCATTAAAAAGCAAAATATATTTTATCTGATCAAAATGTTCTGAGGTGTTTTTACACAAATTTATTTATGTAGGAATCAGTATTTATCATGGTCTATTAATTTCATCACAGATGTTTTAGTAACGCATCGTTTGTGTTTCTTTTTGTTTGATCAGATAATTACAGTGTTCTTATATTACTGTTTTTGCACTTACAAGTCGATCCTTTTATACTGAATGGAGTCAAATAACAACCTCGTTAAATAAGTGGTTAGATCCTGAAAAAAATATAACTATGGTGACCACAAATTCAAATAACTAAGACTAAGGTGGCCAAAGTATAAAAAACGAAACTAGTCAACAACTGTTCAAAAGGGGGTCCATTGCTCTGGAGGACTACTTGCAGAAAGAAACCCACACTCCTCTTGCTGCTCATCAACTCTGAGTCAACATTGGGGGGTTTCTTCCAAACCTCCATATAAATTAGCTCCACATTCATCGCATAGCAACCTGTACAACGCCAAGTTCATTCACCAAAAGCCTAATCTATCTCCCAGTTGTTCTAGGCATCGGATCTTTGATTCTTGATTTGATTGATTTGGAGAGAAGAACGATTGCAGAAGATGGGAGGTGAACCAGCGAAATGGGTGTCGATGGTGACGGCGAGGACTCCGACGAACATAGCGGTGATCAAATACTGGGGGAAGAGGGATGAGACATTGATATTGCCGATCAATGACAGTATCAGTGTTACTCTCGATCCCAATCACCTTTGTACCACCACTACCGTCTCTGTTAGCCCTAGCTTTGATCAAGATCGCATGTGGCTTAACGGGAAGGTACTAGTTTATCCTGTTCATTGTTTTCGTATACTTGTTTATTTTTGTAAGTTTAAGAGTCTTGTGAGGACATATATTTGTTTATTGTACTTTTGCTTCGGAGAAAACAGAGTACTCTTCCGTCCCAAGAATTGATTCGCAGAGATGAAAACTGTTTCGGGTTCTCGAGAGAATCGATGCTACATCAACTATGATTATATACACATCTATATATATGTGAATGCATGCATGCATATGTATCAATTTTGAATATGGGAAGTACCTCATCTGATAATCCAATTTTAAGTGGGAAATTGGGAATATTCCGTAGCGAAAAGCAATCAAAATGGCTATAGAAGACGTTATGGGTTTCTCTAGTTAAGATTTGTGTTTGTGAAATATCCGGAAAGCACTTAAGATTCCAAGGAAAAAGATATTAAAGAAGCTTACCTTCTGGTCCCAAAACTAATGATGGTAAGTTAACTAAAATAAAGTTTTTCTAGTATCATATGGAGCAATTTGTAATCCTATATGCATATAGGAACTCTTTTGTCATGAAGAAATGGATGACTTCAGGGTAATGCTAATGATTATCTACATGTTATGCGTGTTTGTAGTTTGAGCTGCACAAAAGTGATCCTTCCTTAGGCTTAGGTTCTATGTGAGGTAGAATTCATCAATCATTCAGCTTTTCTGATTACTAGATTTTTGTCTTGTTTTATGCTGGTTGGTGTAGGAGATATCTCTTCAAGGAGGTAGGTTCCAAAGTTGTTTGAGAGAAATTCGTGCCCGTGCCCAAGATGTAGAGGATGAGAAGAAAGGCATCAAAATCAAGAAGGAAGACTGGCAAAACCTCCATCTGCACATCGCTTCATACAACAATTTCCCAACGGCCGCTGGTCTGGCTTCCTCAGCTGCTGGTCTTGCTTGCCTAGGTACAAATTTTACACTTCAATTGTAGAAACACATTAAATGATATAGAAATTTCATACTCCATTGTACAGTTGCAATAAATAATCTTACAACCACATTTTCTTTCACCTTTTATATATATTGACAGGATTACTTATAAATAATTGCAAATCAACCATTATATTATGGAGTCAAAATGTTTCTTTGTTTTTTGAGAAAAAACTTTGGGGAGTACATTGCTATCAAAAGACTGAACCTCATTATTCTTATGAAGCAAGAAACTTTGCAAATGAATAGAACAACTTGATTTTTTTGTATTATATTATGTAATGGTGTAACTCTGAATTACCTTAAATCTTCATATGAGCAAATATAATGTTAACTTCTGCTCGTTTGGACATGGTTTGTTTTCCCAATGTGCATACATTACCTTCTTTACCGCCCTAGGGTTTGTGATTCATCTGCTGATAACTCTTGTGCAGTTTTTTCCCTTGCCAAGCTGATGAATCTGAAAGAAGATAATAGTCAGCTTTCTGCTATTGCCAGGTATTTTTCCTTGTTCCAATTCTTATGAGGTGGGTTCCACCATTCCAGGTTCTGGAGTCTGGACGATTCTTGTCACCTTCATCTTTTGCTAATTATTACTATGCCAATTTATGCATTCATTTTAGCTTCTACTTTCCAAAGGGATATTGAAGCAATGCTAATCTGTTCAGCATCCATGTGACATCAACACACAGACTCATAAGCACGCAGTAGTCTATCAAGTTCATATGTGGAAATAATAAATGTGTGGTGTATGTTTTATTTTTTCTGAAATAATCATATTGGAGCGATCAATAAATAAACTTTCTATGTGATAAGACGTAAATCCACTGCCTGCGTAGTGCGTACCAGGTTTTAGACATTGCAGCAAATCGAGTTCCCTTACCTAGTTACCTGTTCCATGGCTCAAGACAATCAGCATGCCAGGAAATATTAATACTCATCTCCTTATATCGAGTGTGTAGCTTTTGCATTTATATGTGCCACATACATTCTCTTTTCTTTCTTGTTTTGTATTGTCGTATTGTATCTGGCCCTTGCTATCGTTCTTTTTGTTAATGTTCTCATAACCAGGCGACTTTATAAGATTTTTTGGGCGGTTACAGATAAGATAGTGGACATGACATGGCCTTCAAATCATTGACAGTTTAGGTTGTGTCTTAGATGGAGCTACTTACCTTTCTCTCTTCTATATCTTTCTCTTTTAGTTTATTTATGTTGGAAGTTAGGGTAAGGTAGTTTAGAGATTTCACTTAATATCAGCTATATGTTATTGTGCCTACGTGGGCTTGAGTTATTCCTATATGTACCAGGAATTTATGCTAGTGAATACTGATGACAATTTTTTTAACCTATAAATAATGTTCAGGCAAGGTTCAGGTAGTGCTTGTCGCAGTTTGTATGGTGGATTTGTCAAGTGGATCATGGGAAAAGTAGGTTTTGGACTTCAAATTTGATATCTGTAACTTATTGGCTTCGTGTATGAAGTGTGTCATCATGGGACCATATATTCTTAATAAGCTCTCTGTATCAATTGTAGGAGGACAATGGTAGTGACAGCCTTGCTGTTCAACTTGCAGATGAGAAACACTGGGATGAACTTGTGATTATCATTGCTGTGGTATGTTCTTTTTTTCCGTTTTCATTCGATTCACTCCGCAAACACACACAAGACACAACTGCCTTTTATTAAGCTTAAACCCCTGACGTTATGGTTACTTGGATGGGATGTGCTTGCTATCATATGACACTCTTTTCTTAAAGACCCATGTGACTGATTTTTGGTTATAGAAATCATCTTGTATACTCGTCGCAGAACAACTATGTATTTGTGATTGCGTTACATGCATCCACTAGATGGATGAAGTTATTTGTACAGCTTCCTATCTGTCTTGTGTCTCAAAGACTACAGTATAATATACAGGGAAGCACAAAGAACATGCTTTTGCGCCCCCTCCCCCCCTCTCTTTGTTCTGTTTTTGTGTGTGTGCATGTGGTCAGCTAAAGTAATTTAGTTAGTATAAATTGACCCCCTTTATGGGGAGCAATGAACTTCAGACCGAAGACTTGGTGCGAAACCCGCTGATCATTTAATCAACAATAAGAAATGTATGTCTTCTTATGTAAGGTTTTTCCACTAGTATGATGGATATAATCTATGGAACATCCTGTTATGGTCATCCGCCAGACCCTTTGAAAGACTCCACAATCTGCACATATCACCCATGAGCTTCTGAACTGGCTAATTAGCTTTGTGATCTAATTCATTTTTCCTGCATTTTTGGCTTGATTGGTTGATAACACTAAGATATGTAATAGCACCACAAAGGTTTTTACTATAAAGATTCTTATGTTTGAATCATATTCCTGTGGTCAACAAGTAATTTCTTTTATGAGTTTTGCTAAAATATAGTAAATATTTTTGTACTAGTTAAGCAAAGCCTTATTCATCTTGGTAGCAATTTGTTGGTATTCCATGCTGATCCCAAAGTAATGTTAATATGGTCTGCTGGATTCCTTAACGTGTTCTAATGCTGCTTCTGTTGTTTACAGGTAAGTGCACGACAAAAGGAAACCAGTAGTACCTCAGGAATGCGTGATACTGTTGAAACTAGTGCTCTTATTCAACATAGAGCCAAGGTACATTTAGATCCCTGTAAATTATGATCATAAATCTTTTTCAGGAAATACCATCCTTGCTCCGGTATGATTGGGTCTTCCTGAATCTTCCATTCGTCATTTGGTTATCCCTGTATGGCTATATGCAAAGCAAATATGTTGGTGCAATTTAATCTCTTCCTCTGCTAAAATCTACAACTCCCAATTTCGGGGTGTCCTATATTCGTGCAACCTTTCCTTTTTGGCAACTTTTCAAGCAAATATTACCTATATGCTTATTATCATTTTAAAGTTTTTGATGATATTGATTTTAGTCCACAGGATTCATACTATTTCATCATCATTATAACGCATCTTAGACATTTAACTATTAGTTAGACAGATCTATAAAATGCTGCAATTTATATGGGTANGGGGGGGGGGGGGGGGGGGGATTTGTTTCTTTAACATTGAAGCAAAGTGGTCTATATCTCAATGTGTTCAGCCTGCAAGTGAGGGACTGTTGAGTTGTTGATGACTCTACAAAACTGTCTTGATTGAGAACTCTGTTTCTCCAGAAGATGTATAGAATTGGTCCTTTTGTGTTTTGAAAATTTCCTTTCAGTGGCCCTCATTTGTGAGTAAAGATTTTGCATTTCCTTTCAACTTGAATGATCTTATTAATTACTAGTTTTTGTGTTGCTTATGTTTTGTTGCTATTCTCTTGGTTCATTTAATCGTTCGTCCTTGTATGTTTATAGCTTTATACACTTGGTGTCTCGTCAAATGTACAATCATGTTAACCTTCCTTCTTGTGATTGTCATAGGAAGTTGTGCCGAAGCGCATAATCCAAATGGAAGACGCCATACAAAAACGTGATTTCCCATCTTTTGCACGTCTAGCTTGCACGGATAGCAATCAGTTTCATGCAGTTTGCCTCGACACATACCCCCCTATATTCTACATGAACGACACATCCCACAGGCAAGTTTCTAGTTTTGTATAATAAGTTTCATTGTGGATTAGCACTACAAAATTCGTAAGTTTTCTCTAAACGGTGTTCTTATTGCAGGATAATCAGCTGTGTCGAGAAATGGAATCGTGCAGAAGGAACACCTCAGGTCTGTATTCTATTCCAAATTTATTAGAAGTATAGCAAATGCAAATGACACATACAGAGTCTAATACACTAACTGCCATACATACCTCTGTTAATTCATTGGGCAGCCCACAAGTGTGTGATTTGAACTCACAAGTCACAACCTCTTGATTATCATTAGCAGGCTCCAAGCACCTTCCATCTATAAATTATGAACTGATAAAAACTAAAAGTGCCATCTCATTTTCGTTACTTAGTATATGGTTGAATTCCTGTGACAGCATGTTGAAATTAGAATACCTTTTTTTAGTAGTCAAACATCGAGGGAGAATATTATAACATATGGAGCGTGGACTTAGTTTGAGACAATGTGCAGGTGGCCTATACCTTCGATGCAGGGCCAAACGCGGTTATGATTGCACGTAACAGGAAAACTGCTGCACTTCTGCTCCAGAGGCTGCTTTATAATTTCCCTCCACAGTCGGATACCGACTTAGACAGGTACGATATGGAACTACTCAACCACAAATAAATATTTCATCATTTCTTCTGTCGGAATATAAATGCAACACGTGACTTGGTGGAAAAAAGAGACCGTTGGTATGATACGTAGAAAATTCCTCAAGTATGAAAAGTAGGAGAAACTATCAAGTTGTAAAAACGGAGTGGAACTTTGCAATCAGAAAATGTAGAAGCTTTATGTAATATGTATAGCATCCTGTGATAATTATGATTTTGACTTGACAGCTACATAATTGGAGACAAGTCAATACTACAAGACGCAGGGATTAATGATATGAAGGATGTGGAAGGTTTGGCCCCTCCCCCAGAAATCAAAGATAACATCCTAATCCAAAAATCCAAGGGAGATGTTAGTTACTTTATCTGCACGAGACCTGGCGGTGGTCCGGTCGTGCTGGCTGATGAAACCCAGGCTCTCCTCAACCCACTCACTGGCTTGCCCAAGTAAGAAACAAGCAGATCTTCGACCTGTTTATTTCTTTCCTTGTATGCTTTTTGGAGATTCGAGCATTTTAAAATGATATTTGTTTAGAGGAATGGGAGCTGTGTACTGAATCCCATTTTAGGATCATTTTAACTGAATAAATTTCAGCATGTAAACTGATGGTTATTATTGTTTATTTAAAAAGCCAACAGTGAGCCTACTTGAGCTCAATTTAAATGCATATTTGTTCTTCTAGTTATGAATTTCACAAACAACCACAAACTGTCTTTGTTTTCTTAAATCGTCGTTGAGCTTGATCAGTCATTCACTGTTGGATTCATCTGCATTCATATGATTTATAGAATTTTGGTAAGTGTTTCATGTGCCTCCAATCTTGACAGAAGAACCGAAGAACCTTGAGACCGTTTAGATAGAGATGGCTTCGCTCGGGCCGGGCCCGAATGGGACCAATAAGGACCAGCCCGATGGTCTGGGACCGGTTATGATTTTGATTTTTACGAAAATTCAAGGCCTGACCCGAGCTTGGTTATACATAAGCCCGGATTTTATAAAAGAATACATTTTTATAAATTATATTTCAAGTTTTTCAAAATTTCTACAAGATTTTCAAGTTTTTTTTAACCAAAAACTTCAATTTTTATAAAAGGTTTTTTAGGTGTTCTATTGCTAAATTTCAAAAATCCGCTATCGTCTCAAGGGGCACCATATGTGATAACCACATGGACCTCCATCCTCTTATGGTTAGTCGATATCTTTTCGAAACTCTGGCACGGACAAAGGTGCATTGAATGTTTAATTACTATATAACGTCGTTTGACTTTCTATAAGAGGCGAGGCTAGTGAAATTAGCAATATCGTATGAAATGAAGTTATGAACTAGTAGTTACCAAACAAAAGAAAAATGAAATTGTAATAACTTTAGTGATACAAAACAAGCTCAATGATCAAATTAAGACATTTTGAATGTCAATTGCTACTAATGTGTTCTTCATATAAATACTGACATATTTTTATATATAAATATTTGATCGATAGATCTTTTTTGTTAGATATCTAATAAAAAATGTAACGACGAAGATAAATATATCAATCGATAAGCAGAATAATTTATGGTTTAATAACTAACAATTTTTTTTATTAAAATAGAATCATGTGATTTTTATTATAGATAAGGGTATATTAATTTGTTCAAAATAGTCAATGTGAAATTTAAGAATGATAAGCAAAATTAAAAATAATGATCAAGTGGTGGGAATGTTTAAGAATCTCTCGTGATATACCACAAAATGAAATATGATTGTTTACAATGAAATTAGAACGCTGAATGGTTAAGAGAGACTCGGAACCACTAAGAGACATTTTTTTATCAAACAAGATTCACCTCTTAACGATGTAGATATTGTTTTTTAATAAAACTATTAAGAGGTAAACAAACAACCTCTAAATAATTAAAATAACATATTGTTATATAAATTAATATTTGTCTTAAAAATCAGTTTGTTATTACGGAGAGATGTTTTATTTGATTTTTTCAAAATCTTTTTACTTGGCATCATAAAATAATTTAAAATATCAAGATGAAGATCAAAATCAAATTTATTTACTATTTCAAATCTCTCCAATCATTAATTAGAAAATCACCTTTTATTGCAAACTGTAATAACTGTCTATTTTTTTTTTAATTTACTTATTTTGATCTTAAAAATAAAATCTGAATTCAAGTATTATGTTAGAACTCAATAATTATACTAATTATATGTTAGATTTTTATATTTAAAATAAGATATTTATTTAGTATTTAATTATGATTATCTGCAGTTAGTTACACGAATTCAAACATGAAACTTTAATAAGTTGTATTTAAGCACAATCTGTTTGTAATATTGAATTTTAAGTAACATACATCAATAAACAGTATTTTGTACATTAAAAACATATGTTAAGAATTTTTGTCAAATGTTTTATAATATAGGATAATTAAAAATCTTAAAGCATCTTTTTCTGTGTTAATTTCTAAAATTAATAACCAAATTAAAAAATAAAATAAAGTCGGATTATTGAACATGGTCAAAGTGCACGGCATAAATATGCGTTTGGGTTCATAGAGAAGGTCAGGTTTCAGTTTTATCTCTCTCTAGGATATCTGGTTGCATATGGCGGCCATTGTTCGACTCCAGCAATCATCTTCACTTCTGAAACCCTCTGCAATCTCATCGAAGTTCCTTCATCAATCTTCTTCGCGGCCTTTCTTTTCTAAACCTAATTTCTTACGGAACAACACTCGTCTGCGCAAGATTCATCTCGCTCCACCACTCTGCTCAGACTCTAACTCAATTCCTGAGGTATCCTTCTCTCTAGAATCAAGACGTCTAATGTCTATTATGATGTTGTTCAATCTGATATCTGAGTGTTTTGGTGCAGAGTTCTTCTGCTAGTGGATCAAGTGGTTCAATAGTTGGTGATCTTCTGGACTACCTTAACGAGTCCTGGACTCAGTTTCATGCCACAGGTACGATGATACAACGCTGTTGTTTGACATTGCGTCACATAAATGTTTTTTACACGAAACTGCATATGAAAGTGATTGCTAAGAATTAATGGAAGATTCTAGATAGATGTGTTTAGAGTGGATATGATATGAAATATGGTCTGATATACCAGTGAAGGTATTATTTTAAATAATTTGAAGGGGACTAGTTGTTTATCCACCGGGATGCAATTAATTTATATTGTAGACCTAGAATGAAATTTTTGAAGGGGACTAGTGTTTAACTGTTTATACTGTAGATAGGGAGGATGAACTCAAAAAGATACCTGAATATGCTATGGAAATAAATTTTCAGTCTTCATTCGGAATTTCATTGATTACCACTCAACTTAACTCACTTAATTGTGATCCTAAACTGCACTCAATTTATATCTCAACTTAACTCAATAATTTGTCTACATGGAAACAGCCTCTCTATCCTTTCAGGTAGAGGCAAGGTCTGCTTACATCCTACCCCATACCCATATGTGTGTGTGGGATATACCGGTTCGTTTGGTTGGGTTTAGGAAGTTATAGAAAAGATCAGGTTACAGGAGCTTCTTTTTCTGAGAAGGGGGGGGGGGGGGGGGGAAGATGGAGAGGAAATGTAAGTTAGAAGATGGAAACGAAGATGAGGGAATCTGCTGCAGTTCTTCTAACAATCTCCTCTTTGATGTTTTCTGTGTCCTTATTCATCTTTATATGAACAAGGCATTTGCTCATTTTCTCATGGATTGAGGCTTTCATCACCTTCTTTTCCAACACAACCAACTCAATTCTCACAGTCCTTGTAGAAACATGATTAGTTGTTTTGCTAGTTTGTGAAGTGGCAACATGGAACATAGAAATGCTTCATTTCATATTCCTCTTAAAGTACTAGGTAATGGATGAATATGTTGCGCTGTCATTTACACACTGGTTGTAGTTTGCCGCTCTCTTTGATTTTTGTCTTTTTTCTGATGTTTGGTAGAAGTTTGCCTTTCTCTTTGATTCAGTCATCTTACTATTTCCATCTGGACTCTATAGCCGAAGCAAAGAGACAACTGGTTGATGCTGGATTCCATCTGCTCAGCGAGAATGATGAATGGGACCTTAAACCTGGTGGACGTTACTTCTTCACTAGGAATATGTCCTGTCTGGTAGCTTTTGCTATTGGGGAAAAGTAAGTTGGCATTATTTTCTTTTAATACCGTATGCTGTTGGTGTGGGGTGTAAAGTTATTGGTATAAGATTCAACATATCCATGTTAGAATGATCCAATGATAAGTAGATCTATGATAGGTGAACTAATACCGTGTCAGTAAAATTGCTCGTGGAGTCCAAAACTTATCCTGACCTGACCATATTGATTGTTCACTTTGCTAACTACTTCTTGTTGAGCTGCTATTTGTATTACTTTCGACATCATCCATTTTGTGGATTTTTTGTTATCATTCTCCCTTATGGATAAAATTTATCTTTTAGGTCTTTCAGTTACCTCTCTGCCATTATCTGAATGGTTGTTTCTCTTTTTTTCCTTTGAGTTTTTTAATTATCAATACTGGGTTAATCTTTTGATTATTTAATGCTTGAAATCAGTTTTTCAGGTATTCTGTTGGTAATGGTTTTCATGTAATTGCTGCGCACACGGATAGCCCTTGTCTGAAATTGAAGCCGAAGTCTGCATTGTCCAAATCCAACTATCTTATGGTCAATGTACAAACCTATGGTGGTGGATTATGGCATACATGGTTTGATAGAGATTTAAGTGTAGCTGGAAGGGTCATAGTGAGAGGTGGTGATGGCTCCTTTCTACACAAACTAGTCAAAGTAAAGAGGCCTCTTTTACGAGTGCCTACACTTGCTATTCATCTTGATCGGTTTGTTTGCTTACCCTCCTTCTGTGGATTGTTTTTCAAAGAGTTCCATGGATATCAGTTGTACATATATATGGTTGAGCTTGTTGTATGTGACTGTTGTAGACCTTTTACATTCTTTATTTTATTTTATTTTATGAACTGGTATGACTTGTGACTGGCTGACTGTTGATAAATTGAGATTCTCTTGTTACTATTTTTGATTCAAACATGATCATCCTTGAATACAAGTATGAGTTGCCTTTTCCCTTTTCCTTTGCAGTGAAATCTCCCTCTCTCTAGAATTTAGCCATGCTAAGCTTAGAGGCTTGACTAGTAATCAAAAGCACCACATAAATTGGTTTGGAAAACATGATTTTATATTATTTTGAGGAAACAAAGAACAAGGGGGTACACTAATTTGACTCTCCAGTTAACCTTGGCATTTTATATGGCATGGTTTTAAGTGTTTCTGATTGAGTATGCATTAGTATGCTACATTTATATGACTTGGTGAAGTCTGGTTATGTTTGTTTGAATACTTTCTCTAAATAAGATGTGTGTAATTGTTATATGTTGCTAAAGGAAACATTTTGTGTTGGCTTTGGGCTGATGATTTAGAAAGGGCCTGTTTTGGAGGTATCTGAAGGAAAGTATCAGGAACAGTAAAAGCATAATATGAAAGAAGCAGTGAGCAAATTAACATAAAGTAATGGTAACTACATGGATGGGGAAATATGAGCTGTTTGTTGTTGGTATTTCTACAAGCTGCATTATGATTCTGTTTATCCATTATACAAATAGAAAATAAAAGCCATTTTCTCATTTTGCTTAATGAAGTGCTCCTTCTCATTGTCATTGTCATATCTATTGCTTTGGTTATAGTACGGTGAACAAGGACGGTTTTAAGCCAAATTTGGAGACTCACCTCAACCCTTTGTTAGCAACAAAGCACGATGATGCATCCGCTGATGTAATAGATAAAAGTAATTCCTCATCGTCCAAAGATTCTCATCACCATCCTCTACTCATGCAGGTAATAAAAATCATGGCATGCAATCTTCATATTCTAAATGGGAGTGGGGGTGGGTGGGGATGCTATTTTGGAGTAGTATCGATGGGAAGTTGATGCTTCTGGTGAACACTGGGGTGTAGCCTTGTAGGACATCTTCTGGTAAAAGTGATTTTATTGAGTTCCTTGAAGAAGATAAACAATAAAAACCAAATCGAAAAAAATGAGTGTAACGACAATCCATTTACTAAAATAAGCAAGCATTGCTTTAAATAGCTTTGGCATATAGAGTTTGGACCAGACTGCAATTAGTTGAATGTTCATGTATCACCACTCTAACATCTCCAAATGCATCTCTCCCTTATACAATCTATCAAGCATTTAGTTTTGAAGTTTCACTCTGTCTAGGTGCCTCCTTTTCTATCATGTTACCTCCACTCATAGGAGTGATAGTTTTTTAAATGAGAGCTTGTATCTATTAAGTCATGGGGCCAAAGAATTTCAGTTCAGCGGTTCACAGGTGGATGCTTTGCTCATCTATTGTCACTCACAAATAGTTGAAAATAAGAAACCATAATAACAACAATACATGTGCTATTATTATGTCGGAAGTCAGAACCAACTTTGATGACAATCTTTTATTTTCATATTCTGAATTTCAGATTTTATCAGATGAGTTGGCCTGTGAAATTGATGACATAGCTAGCATTGAGCTAAACATTTGTGATACCCAACCTAGCTGTCTTGGAGGTGCGAACAACGAGTTCATATTTTCTGGACGATTAGATAATCTTGCTTCGAGTTTTTGTGCACTCAGAGCTCTTGTTGATTCATCTGGGCCGAAAGATCTATCTGATGAGCATGCAATTAGAATGGTTGCTCTTTTCGATAATGAAGAGGTACTCGGATTCTATTATGTTATCGTGAATATGACCAATAACCTATAATCACCATACTGCAAATAAGAGAACACAAGGTTCCAGCTAGTTTCAGTAAATTCATTGAGCATTTTATTTATTAGTATGAAGTATAATAAATTCTATACTGAGATTTTGTCTAAATGACATAAAGCCGAATGCTTAGATACCCATATGAAGTTCTTGTTTGTAATCCTTTTGCCACTAAAATGTTGCATAGACATTTCCTTGGATGCTCTTGCTTTTTACAAATATTGAGATGGGAATAATTTTCTTACTAGCAATGAGCTGTTAAGGCTACTTTTCAGACTTTGTCCTTAATCTTGATGTCAAACTTTACTCAATTTGATGCAATTACACCAATCTTTTCTATTATATACTTGTAATCTTTAGTTTTTACTGCATATTGTTGTATAGGTTGGTTCTGATTCAATGCAAGGCGCTGGTGCACCAACAATGTTTCAAGCTATGAGGCGGATAGTTGATTGCTTGGCTAATCAGTTAGTCAGGGAGGGCATCCTTGAGCGTGCTATTCGTCAATCATTTCTGGGTTTGTATAAAGCCTTGATGAGTCTTCTTTCTTACACATTCATTGATTTTCTAGATGAGACAAGTGCATGTCCTGCAAAGGATGCTCTATTAAGAAACTTTATTTTGTTACATTAAATTGCAAAGTACCGTCAATAATTATTAAGCATTTTTGCGATCAACAAGGGTAATTTTTTTTCTTTTAACGTCTGCTATCATATAATTTTGACAGTTCAATTGAACATTAAAAAAAGGTGAAAACAATATGAAGTTTGATGCTTCTTTTGTACCATGAGAACTGCAATAATTTCGCTCTAGGATACCCCATATAAAGTACATCTTCTTTTTGAACAATTTTCAAGCTCAAGTCGATTACAAATTATTGCTGTCGTTTGGGCCCTCAAGCTTGCGCTATTTTGTTATTATTCGAGGACATTTTACACCTTTGACTAATAGTTAGGCGATTTCACCAGGCTATCTACATTTCCAAGCTTTACTATTTTCATGGGATGATGGGAGCATTGATTTTTTCTTGTCTTCTGAGGATTCCTTTTTAATAGATAAACTGCACTTGAAATATTTTTCCTTCAAAATGTAGAATTGTATTCAGATGTCTTATATTCTGTAGTGTGTGGATAAAATCGTGTATCCTTACAGTTGAAGGTGTTAATCTGTACTTGATGAAACCATCGGATTTCTTAGAATGTCCAAGGCTAGTAGTATCCATGAAGTTTTGGATCTTTTGATACGCGGTTGTTGCTTTTAGAAAGGAAAGCTCCTCATATGTCTTCTCTTTTGATGTCTGGAACGAGATTTTCAATTAGAAAGAGGTGAATTGGAGTTGAGTGCATTAAAATGTGTATGGTAGAGCCTTTTCACATGGTTTCAAGTCAGAAAACTAGGCAACAATGTTGTGTATGGGTGTCCGTGACTTTGTGTTCTTTTTCTAGAGTTGTATACGTTTTTTCTTGTTTTATTGAAGAATGCATAGTGAGGTTGATTTTATAGTTGTAAATGCTGTACATGCACAAGGAAAGATCAGATCAAGCTTTCAAAACATGTCTTGTTCACTTGAAGTTTTTGAGCCCATTTCTAACCTATATGGAGTAATATTGGACCCAATACTAAAATAGGAAATATAGCATGGGAGGATGCTAGAAAGTTAGCAATATCGATCTTGTTATACTTTTCATATTCCATGCTAAAATTGGAAATATAGCATGGGAGGATGCTAGAAAGTTAGCAATATCGATCTTGTTCTACTTTTCATATTCCACTTTCCATTAATTTTACCTTGGCATGTTATTACTATTATGTTTGGTCTTGCTACTCTGTATGTTTGTCTTAAATTTATGTTACCTGTTTATTTTCTTACAGTTTCTGCAGACATGGCTCATGGAGTTCACCCTAATTTTATGGACAAGCATGAAGAACACCATCGCCCAGAATTACACAAGGGTCTTGTGATAAAGCACAATGCAAACCAGCGTTATGCTACCAGTGGAATTACAGCTTTTCTTTTTAAAGAAGTTGCTAAAATTCATGGCCTTCCGACTCAGGTGACCGTATGTTACAGCAGTTAGCATTTTCCTTTATCATCTGATAGTTAAAGGGTGCTTTATTAAAAGGACCCTCTCATGGGAGATCATGGTTTGAATTCCATTATTCATAGAACCATTCTTTCAGAATTTGTTTATACTTTTAAAGACTTGGTACAGTAGCATTTATAGATGAGAGGGCAAATCTAAATCTCTTTCATTTATTGTGTTCTATTCACATGCATAAACACTTGATTTGTTGTTTAAGATAGGAGGTTAGTCTAATCTATGCAGACCTTATCTCCAGCGTCCCCCCTCACCATCCCCTCAGGAGGAAGGGAGGGGGGGGAGGGGGAGGCAAAGGGTACAGAAAATCTTGCACCGTCTGTAAGAATTCAGCTAAATGTGTTTGATCTTATATGCAGGACTTTGTGGTCAGAAATGATATGGGATGTGGATCCACTATAGGTCCAATACTTGCGTCTGGAGTGGGTATACGCACCGTTGATTGTGGCATTCCTCAGCTTTCCATGCACAGGTAATAAATTGTCTGTTCCTTCATGTTCTGTATTCGATAACTTTATGGCACCCACAAAATATAGGAAGAGAAATATTGGATGGAAAGCATGCAAATTCTATCACCATTTTATTGTTCAAATTTAAAATTTTTGAGGATTTTTACTTTCCACCACTTCTGATCACGTCAACATGTAGGAAGAAAAGTCAATAAGCTATTGTTTCATATTGGAAAGGTTCCAAGTTTCATATCAGAATTTAGGGATGGCCTTAGTTCAACTTTTGTAAATGTTGTATAGACAGAGCCCGAACCAACTACCATTCCATGAACAAAAATCTAAAGTTTATGAGTTAGTTTATGAACTAGTAGCATGTGCAGTGGACAAGCTCCTTATTTCCTACTTATTCTTCTAGAATCCTTCCTCAAAAGATCAATGCGGCCTTATTTCAACACTATCCTACTTTGAGCCAAGTTGGCATGAACGGATAGTGGCCTATAATTATAAAGAACATCAGAGTATTGAGAAAGAAACACTTTGTAAGTTTATTGTTTATGCTTATGTGTCTCCAACCTTGGATGGTTACAAATGAGGGAGACCTTCCCTATTTATAGGAGATTCAAACCCCTAAGGTTCAATCTAGATTCAACACCTTTATAGGTTCATCTGCAACAAGCCTTAGGAATGTACGGTGTCATCAAGATCTTTTGGTAATACAATAAGCCTAGGACAACTTGGAGGACCTATATATCCATATAACTACCTAGACTTTCTAGGGGATTCCGGATCCTTTCTTGGGAAGTTTCTTGTGCGTGACCCAGGAGGCGCAAGGCGCATGTCATGGCATTGTGGCTTGCCTGTCTGGCGAATTTGGACTTGGGCTCAGGATGTTAACAATGGCAAGATCGATTTTTGTGAAGTATGCAGCATTTTTCACATCTATCATGCAAGTTGGTGTCTATTAGCCTTTTTCTCCTGGGAACAGCAGAACAGGGGTTGAAGCTTGCCTCTCAAACATTGACCCAAATGCATGAGTAGAGCAGCAAGATCTTGTAGTCCAATTCAACATTGGCCTTGCTGTCAGTGGTGGATCCCTTAAGGGGCCTGGGGTTTGTTGTGGTTTAAGGCCAAACTGCAAACCACACCTTCAATCCAATATTCCTCAAACCACATAAATAATATTGCGATTTTTTCCTAACGTACTTCAATCCAATATTTATAAAATCATAACTTCAAAATAAGTTCGATGATCACATGTCCATACAATAAAAAGTTCCAATGCGTCCCAAATGCAGAATAAAAAATATCCTAAAACAAAATAAAGAATTCCATATTTAATCTAAATACATCCGAAAAGCTAACCTTAGAATAAATTATACGGTTTTAGATGAACACCCTGACATAAATGTTCATTTTGACCTCTACCAAAAAAAGTTTTGACCCCCCCATAGATTATAAATTATTGCTCCTTTCGTCCCAAAATAAGTGTCCAAGTGCAGTGCGTTGGAAGCAAGCTACCTTGACCATCTTTCGTAGTTCTAAATAATCTACTGATCAAAGGCATCTCTATTTATGTTTGTCCCAAAATATATATCCACTTTCAAAAGTAAATAACCAAATTCTCAAACTTACCTTTAATCAATGCACGAATATTTATGAGTTCTTTTTTTTTATTAACCTGGATATCCAACCCGCTATGCGAGCCGACTAATCCCAGGGCGACCACCTGCTTTGCGCGTAGCCCGGAGTCACCGCATAAAATTGTCATTTGGTTAACAAAGAAGTGTAATAATTATGTCTGCCTAAAATTGTGTGCCATTTCAATTGTTGACACTTATTCTGGGACGAAAGGGAGTATTTTTTACTTTATACATCATACATTATAAATTATATTTTTTATATTAAATGTCTTGTTTCTCATTTTTATACTTCTTTATTTAACTTTTATTGTGTTTTATATTAACTTAATTAAATTACAACACCATTACCAAATTTCCTGGATCCGCCATGGTATGGTTCCTTACTCCCCCTTCAACCTACATGTTTATGTGACATATTTGTATTAAAGATTAGTTCCGGCCTCTGGGGCATAATCCCCCTGTTGCACCCTTGCTTGCTGTTCTAAAACATTATGTTCCTATAGATATTTGATGTGAAAACACATCTGCTTGGATGATCTTCCTTTTTCTGTAAAATGACTTTATTTTTCTTTGCCTTGTGTACTTTTATGTTCTTTTGCTGTTTCCACATTGCTATTTGTGTTATGCATCTCAAGTTCCACCTCTTGTTTTCAATATTTTTTTTGGATTTTTCCAATTACTGCAGTGTAAGAGAGGTATGTGGGAAGGAAGACGTAGACATCGCATACAACCATTTCAAAGCATTTTATGAAACATTCTCAAGCATAGACCGAAAACTGAATGTGGACTAGTTAGTAAGAACAAAACAAATGTATGATGGGAAACCGACAGTAAGAAACCTCCACATTTATTTATTGGTCTGGTTCGGAAAATAAACATGATGAAAAAGGTGGGCATCAAGATTCGACTTTGAATTCCTGATGGCATCCCATTATGAAATGGAAAATACTCATTGAAGGTTGCGACTTGCTAACCCTTTTGTTTGGTGTTGCTGGGTTTCTTGTCCTGCTGGAAACTGGAACCAAGTTGGAGCTTGAATTCAGGTTCAGGTTCAAGTTTCAGTTTTTGGAGATCACCGATGTTCTCCTTCCACCGAGAGATGAGAGCCTCGTTCTCCTTGCGCAGCTGTTGAGCCCTCCTCCGAAGCCTCTCGTTCTCTTGAATGATTAGGCAATTTCGCAGGTACAATTCCGTGTTTAATCCCTCCATTTCTCTAGTGTCATCCATGCCCCTGAAACCAAGTTAAGTGATGTCAGATTTGAATTGCGTTATTCGATTCGACTCGTAAGTCAAATGTCCAAAATATGTTTCGAAATTTTTTACGAAAGAAAAGATGATCAAAATTAGAGGGGGGGATGATGAAAATGTACCTGGTTGTGTATGGTGATGGAAGAGATGTTGATGGGTATATATAGAATACATAAAGTAAGTATATAGCAACAAAGCATGAAGGGTCTCACACAAAACAACCATCAAAAGCCTCCCTTCTTTGCATGGGACTTTAACCGTCTTTTTAAAGAAAAAATTGAGAAATTATATGATGAATGTTTTGTCGGTATTCTTGGTAAAATCATTACACGCTTGACATATCCACAACCTAGCAGCAGGCACATGGCTTTCATCGTATAAATCATGTTTCATATGTTTTTACAAATACCATTCCGTTTGGTTTTTAAGATTGGATTTTGAGGGATTCGGAATTGAATTCCATTCCTATCCCATGTTGTCTCAAGGATTTAAAAAAGAATGAAATCCGATTTCATTCTGAAAATCATTCCATTCCATTTTCGTTAAACCGAACGTCCTGTTTATTTTTATTTTATTTTTATAAATCATATGATAAATTGAGCATCATATATGAGATAGAATTAGAAGCGTACTCGCGTAATGCAGCGAGATAAATCGTGATTTTAATATTTTATTTTATTCTTTATCTCAGTC